AAGAATGCAAAAACGACCAGAGGAGAAATCGTTCGAAAAACAAGGAACCGCGTACTGATCCTCTTCGACAATTCGTTTGGCCAATTCTTTCCTCCTATGACGTCATTAATCAGCGCTCGTAAATAACTAAAGCTTTGACAGAGAGACAGCCCATGATCAAAGAACAATACGGGAACGTGAGCGAGCGTTTTGTTCGCGAAGAGCAAATGGGTCCATTTAACAACACTGTCATCGTGCCTTTTATAAATCTTCAGTATTTACAGGTTAGACGTGTCACGATCTCAATGTTGCAACCTCAAGGTAATGCACGCAGGAGAGTAGTGGAATGTCCAAGACGATTTACATAAATGGAGAATGCAAGCATCGTGGTATCTGCTCGCAACTATTCTTTATCATTCCTCTTCGCGAAAGGAAAGCCTCTAACCTGGCGCGAAACGTGAGAACATTTTTACGTAGATAAAGGGTAAGCAAACTATGATACGTTATTTGTTCGACTGAATCTACAATAAAATTGTATTTCCTGATGCATCACTGATGAAATAACAAATCTACTGCGGCGAGAGAGAAAGATCAGTATCGGCAGGAGCTTCAGCTCGTGCTAGGTCAGACAATAAAGATTCGCAACCGAACACCGGCTCGAAAATCATCGTATTTCGAATCTTTCTCATCCGTTTCGTGCATAAACCAATGAACCATCAGTGGAATAACAAATCTATTGCGGTGAAAAAGAAAGATCAGTCCTGGAAGGAGCTTCAGTTGATACTAGTCAGACAAGAAAGGTTGAAAGGAAGAAACATCAGATTGAAAATCATCGAATTTTGAATCTTTCACATCCGTTTCTCTAATTTTTCAACACATTTCATTCTCGTACCCTCGAGGTGCCAAAAAAGAATTTCCTGACCTTCCTCTACCGATGTATGTCGACCACTCGCTGGAAAATTTCAAAAACGTTTCGTGCCTTTGAGGTTCTATCAAAAAAAAAAAAAAAGAAAGGAAATACCGCGTGTAACAAACAAACAATTGCAAGCGTTCACTGGAGAAACGAACGATAACCTGACTTCCCTCTAACGATTTACGCCGATCATTCAGCGTAAAATTTCAAAAACGTTCCGTGCCTTTGAAGTTGCACTAAAAATAATGACGTATCGCGTGCAACAAAGGCGCGCAGCTGGAAACGTCCAGTGTTCATGGATCGGACAACAACGATTAAAGAGGTTGCGCGTCCGATCTCGTAAGAGCGTTCGAAAGGAACGTCGCTCTCCCTTTTAGCCGCATTTTACTTTCTTGCCGTTTTATGGACGAAGGGCGGTCAGGCGCCATGACCGTGAGTGAGAGAAACCGACTCAAGTGGCCGCAATAGCGAAACCAAGTGAAACACGTACCCGTAGTTCCAGTTTTTTCCCTGATTGTGATGTGTACGAAATATCATCTTGCTTTATCTCGGTGATGTCATCCCGTTTGGCAAATGCTCGTAAAAAGTGGTAGGACTAGGAAATGGAAAGTTACTTTTCTATGTCGCGCTTGCATAATATTTTTATCTTGTCCATTAATTACGTTTGCCAGCCAGGAAAGTGTTCACACGGCAAATTAAAAGGCGAGTTAAGTACCTGCTAAAAAATACACGAGAGGCTGCAATTTATATTCGAAAATGTCGCATACGAATTCAAGGCCCCAGATTCCCCATCCCTGGTGACCTAACTAATGGAGCCCAACTCAGAGGCCGATCAAGGACGCAGAATCAATGAAAAATGTATATAAAATCGTGTTCCCTTCTCGACCTTATCCTCAAGTTATAGCCATTCACATACTGTGATAACTTCTAATTGCAAACTGAACATAACTAGCTTGGAACTGTTTGGAGAAGCCAATCTCATGCGAATATCTTGAGTAATAAGATGCGTGAACTATTGGAAACTTCATGAGATGCTGCACGTCGAGTATGATTTATGAATTTCTTAGGCATTTGTTTAATCATAATTTTTAATCGTTTGAAAGGAAAATGCAGAAACACTCCATAAATGTCGTGTACACTTGTCGAGTCCAGTTGTAAGTATGATCTTCATTGCTTAGCGTTTCGTAAACCATTTGACTCTGTTCACGGAAATATTCTCCGTAGAAATAATGTTAAACGAGGCGTCAACGATCATCAAATACCAATCGTTCCACGCAAAAAAAAAGTAAACAGCATGAATTAGAATTTCTGATAAACTTGCCACGCTATTTGTTATAGGGTACTTGCGATTTTAAATTTTGCAACGTCAATATTTATGTCGTCACATTGTGCACCGCTCGACAGTCTAACTTCGACGCGTTTATCCCCACGATTAGAGAATTATTGCTCAAATAGATTCCACGTGTGACATGTTACGAATAAATTACGTAGCATCGTAATCACCTGTTAGAAATGTCAATGAATTTTTGCAAGATGGAAATGAGAGTCGTTTCCCTTGGAATAGAAATTAGAATCTTTGGCAGCACGGTACGGTTGCTATTTCGTAATCCATTTCATTTATCGTGAATTTAATTTAACTATTCTAGGTATTAATAAGTATGAGAAGGTTGACATTAGGTGTAATTAGACTGTATTTTTTTATCGTTGTATAATTCTAATCTTCTCATACGAATCATTGATTGAAGAGCACTCGCCATTCTTATCTAACAATTTTATCGATTGCCCAAATCGATCAATTTTAACAGTAAAGTAAAGTTGTTAGGTAACATAGTTGATTTGCTTTTCGATGGACGATACAACAGTCCATGAGAATTACAATATGAATAATCGATTATACTTTAAGCGCCCACCTTTCAACCACCTTTAACTGCGAATGGTAATCAATGTAACAGGCTTTAAAAAATGCGAGAACAACAACCCTTATCTTGCTCGTTGTCGGGCATAAATTGACTTGAACGACTAATTTCTCATTGTTTCTTTTAACATATATGTTTACGAAACGATACGAAAGCGATTTGTCATCTTTATTCATTTATACATTAAATTAAATGATGCACATATGTTTAATTAATATGAATCTTTCGACTTCAGTTGTTGGGTATTGTCGGCATGAAATAAAATTAGAAATGAAAATTTTGCAAATTGTTGTACATTTTATAACATCGTCATTCGGTCGACGTCACTCCCACATTTTCTTCCTATTTATGGTGCACTATATGTGTACTTGATCCTCTACCTGTCCAGCAATGTAAACGAGTACACACCAGCGTGAGTAACAATATTATTCTGGATCCTCGAGATAAACCAAACACCAGCAATATAAAATTTTGACTTTCACGGATAATTTCGCAAGAGTCTTTCTTTTTATTTAATCGCCATACGTATTTATAAACAGGATTGTCGGTGATTGAATCCTGTGATTGATTGAACGCAGACTTTTTTGTATCGAAGATCGATTCAGCAGTGAAAAAAGTTAATATGGCTGAATCGAATATGAGCGAATTTAGCAATGTTCGCATTGTTTGAGCTGTATTTAGCGCAAACATTCGTTTTATTTCGAGATTCACTGTTCCCCGTAATCGTTTCTTTTCCTCGATCGAGACAGCGTATTAAGCACAGCCGCCGCCAAACAAGCGGTGATCGAGCGGTTTCGTATTCCCGCTCACATTCTACACCTCTTGCACTAATCTCTTGCTGTTTTGCAACGCTTCTAATGCGAACGCGCGGCTGTTTAATTTATTCTGGCAAATCTGGCGCGGTGCTTATTGCCTTGCGACCAAAGCAGGGGCGTGAACGACGGAAACTCGTCATAGCAATATTTCTATCGATCATTGTCAATTCATTCACATTCGTTGTCCGGAAAATAAACCGAGCGAAACATTTCTCACGGAATCGCGATCACGAAACTAACGATACGGAAGTCTTTGGCAATAGCGAGTGCAAAATTTTCGTTTCAGCTTTTTCTTTGGGGGCTGCTTCAAGAAGAATACTCTGAATTGAACAGTGTCTTTGAACATTTTTGAACTGCATTCATATCAAGACTAATTAAATACCAAGCTACTTTGATCAATTTTGTATTTCATAATACGTTCGAGAAGAGAACCTTTGCAGCGACCGATCGTTGAACTCCGCAGGTTCCTCTTCTACGCAGGACCTGCTTTAGATCTAGTCGCGCGAGCCTAGTCACGCAATACGCTACGCATCCCTAGCATAAACTATCGCATGCTTGTGTAAAAGCAGTCCCTGGTTTCAACGTAAACTTCACCTGGCAATTTGCACTCGGTGGCAATGGCTGGTGCATTTCCCGTTTAAAACAGGTTCAGCATTCCAGCGAATTAAGGAAAACACTGATTGACCTCTGATTCAGGTGTCAGGTGAGCGACTCCAACCTCGAAGAGAAGGATATCCACCAAAAAATGTAAGATCGATTGGTTTCCCGAAGTTGATCGTCAACGACAATTTTACATTTCTTTTTTTTTGTAGCTACTCGAGTTTCAATCATTGAAGGGAGAAGCAAAGTGATAGTTTATATGTAAGGACGATAAAAGAACACATCATTTACAGAATTAATTTTTTGTATTAATAATTCTGTCACATTTCTTCAGACGGTAATATTTATTCAGATGGATAAGAATTTTGAAATTAAATGTCAATTCTAGACGCGAACGTGTTTAATAATCCGTGACGATAAAATTGATTAAATTGTACAGTTCTTGATTGCTTAAATTGGACTGGTTTAAAGTAAGTATTATTCGTGTTTACGTCTTGCATTCAATATTTCCCATGTTAAAGAGAGAAAAATAAATGTTGAAAATTATAGTCTAAATTAATCGATCAAGGTTTAAAGAACCTCGATTCACAAAGTTAACTAACAGAGCGTCTAAGACAATTAAGGAATCAACTAACAGTCCCAGGATGAATCTCTACCAATTCCCTCTTCACTCGTGGAGCACGACGCGACGACATATTTCTGCGCACACTCGTGATTCGATGCTTTCTGATTACAAAATGAACAGAGTGGTAAAAAAGATCGTTAATAATCACTGACCTCTGAAAATAGAGTTCGTCGGTGGTCACGTCAACAAAGGAATCGCTCCAACGAAGAAGATGATTCTTCAAACGGAAAATCACGATCCACGAGGGTGGTACGGCCCTGTCTCGGAGAGATGCTGCACGATGTATTTATCCCCAGCCCTCGGAAAGGGCGTACGACGCGATGGTTGCTCGAGGAGAGACTAATTCGATATTAGGAGCTAGAGAGGATGCTCTGGTCGGGCCTCGCGTCGGGTATCGTGTGGTGTGCTCTGTGGATCCGAGGAAGATTGATCGTCGTGCGATCGCGACCGCGAGGGAACTACTGTCGGAGTGGTAGCTGAGAGTCTGAGTCCGTCTCTCGACACGCACCACTGATGGACGCTCAGTGGCAAGGTTCTCTCTCCCTTCGGCACGGCAGCGAACGTTATCCTTCACGTTCTGACAACACAAAGCTGTACTGTCGTAGTCTTATATCTCTTCCAAGCAACCACGCTCGCGGCTTCGCTCACCAAAGGAACCGATACAAACGCGATCTCCTGATCATATAGTCGGATCGTCAACAATCGTCTCTACAGCACGTCTCGCTTATTCTGACCTTCTCGCCGCAAAAGTGTGTCGATTATTTTTCGGTGAAAGAGAGACGAATATATCGATGTCCGTGAGCTGCTAGTCGAACTAACGATATGTAGGGAGGAGTTAGGAGAATATTTGAGCACTAGAGTAGTTTTTCCATTGCTTTGTGTATCTTGAGAAAATGTATAATGAACAAAATTAATTATCGTGTTACGTATATTAGAAGGAATAGAAGTTAACTTTGAGGTCACAGCATTATTGTATAGCGTATTAGCATGTTAGTAAGGAAACTAATGAAATGCGCTGAAAATGATTTAAACAATGAAACAGTCGTGCATAATACCTACAGAAAATGTTTGTTCATCAATATCTATAAGAATCATGATCTATTATCAACAAGAATATTACTCTTTTCTTTGTTGGATATTGTTCTGGATGAGCGTCGAAGGACAGGGTTAAATTACTTTTATTTTGTCGCGGGTTATCGCGGTCAGCCGTATTGTAATTAGTCTATAAATCGACGATTCGTACATGACACGCAAATCACATCTACCACAATACATTATCCATATTGAAAGTAGTAGAAGAAGACATTGTGTTCGCAACCGTGAACGGAAGTAACGTTATTAATATTTACGACTACGATTGTATTCTGGCTTTCTTCAGGTCAATCTTTAACGATACGAGATCGGGGAAAAAAAGAAATTGATACATATTATTACTCGGAATAAAATGTTTCCGTATACGGAGGAAAAAGAATCTTATTACTTTCCTTCTTTGATGAATCATTTGCTACCTCATAAATTAGCAATTATATACCATGAGGAGATGGAAAGAAAAATTTATTTCCGATCGATGCGTTCGACGTTTGTTCAGAGATTTTAAATATTCACTAATCCTGACATTAATGGTGATATTATTCTTAGAGGACAATTATGAAGATGCAACAGGATTATACGTGAGTTACGAGGTACTAATTATTTGACTTTTATAGGAAACTGATACATTAGCGAGACCCACTGATTGTAAAATGTCATTGGAAAAATTGATGTGCAACGTATGGTCGGACAATAGACGTTGCAAAATTTATAGACTTACAGTCGATGCTATAAGAACCACCACATAGATATATGTATGTATTGTCTCTTCCGACATCAAACGTGACAGTAGATAAACTTAATCGTGCTTAACAAATGTGTAATAAATAGTTGCTCAAGGTAATAAATCATCCGACAGTGGTCCTTTCTAATGCATAATTGGTACGGTTTTATACTCGTGGTACTAAAAATCGAGCTTCGGACAAGCTTTCAACACACCTTCGAGCAATTCATTTATAACAATTAACGGAACGACAGACAATTTGCCAAGAAAGAATTAAATAAATACTGATGTGATAGGTCAGTAATTAGATTACGCTACCGCATGGGTAATGTGAACGGTTCTCCGGTTATGCAGGAGCTTGTTTAGTATACAGTGTCAGGATCTTAGTGTCATTATGACCAGCTTGCCTGGTGATACGTTGATATAAACATTTGCTGCTAAGACTTGCAGCGTTTGACTTACATAGTTCAAGTCCGCAACGAGCTACAATGTAAGGGTACATCGTTGGATGAGGAAGACAAAGTTGATACTTTCCTGTCTATTATCCTCAACGGCAACACGTGCTAAATATAAAAATCGCTCGAGAATCGATAAACCTTGAACGACCAACTACGGGAAAAGTATTTCATTATCTCCTTTCACGCGAGAAAAATCCTTCGTTACACGACTATGTCGTTCCACAGCGTCACTGTAGTCGATGATGTCCGATGATTGACACGCTCTTTAACCGGCAGTGACGGAGCTCTAAGCCTCTTCCGTTTGGAATAATTCAACTGACCACTGACCCAACATTTTCAGTTGAAAGAAGAACGATAGGTATTCTATTTTCGACTCACGATTAACATTCTCGCTCGACGCACATTCTGACATTTTGGGTCGATACACTGGGAACGTCGTTATTTCTTCTTTTTTATTAATTGAATGAGGCATCGCGCTTTTACAAAAAGTCATTTCCTAATTCGAGGGAAAGGATATATACCTGAAAACTAAACACGCAATCTTCGCCCTAGGTGTAACGAGAAAATGGATAATTCTCGTATTTTATGTTAATCGGACAGGAACAAATGCATTCTTCGATAATGCTTCTGGGAAATTCGCGGTTAAACTTATTTCTATCAGTCCAGAAAATCGAGTAGGTTACCATGACTTCGCGGAAAGTGTCGTAAGCGTGATTCCACTGTAAATAACTGGTTAGGGTTCCTATTTTCACGCTCAATTAGTAGTAGTTTCATCAAATCAGCAGAAAATATCCTACCGTTTCACGACGAGTTACGACCACGAAGAGTAAACAACATAAAACTTAAACGAGTAATCGAGCGTTAAAGCCTATGGATTCATGTATTGAAATGGCTGCGAGAACGTAATGTTACGTAATTGAATGTATAAATAAGTTATCAGTCAACTGTACAGTAACATTATGTCATTTTGTTTCATAATTTCGTTAATTTATTTCATTATGCACGTCGAAAATTCCAGTCCGAGTTCGCTTTCAAACTCACCGTGTATTTTTAATTGCACGTTGAGGCCATCGAAAAATCATGAATTTTAATTCCACTACAAAAGGACGTCGGATCATATTAATGTTTCCTTTTTATCTAGCCAAATACGAAAACGAAGCCTGGCGGGCTAAAGAGCTCGGGTCGCGCGTACAAATTAATTGGTCCCAAGATCGAAGGACTCGGCGGAAGGCCGAGAATGATTATAAACGCAGAATATTTTCGTCTATTGGAAAGTCGTATATCGACGGTGATTATGGGCGGCCGTGTGTGAAACGTCGCTGCACGCGAGCGCGCTTTTCTCCTCCGCGTAACGTTGCGGCGTAAATAATGACTGTTTAAAAAAGAAGCCACTCTTTCGATATCATCGTCGATGATCGTAAATACGGGGGAATACAATGACGGGGCGGTTCGAAGCCTCCTGGGACGACCGATTGCAGATATTTGCAGCTTGCGTAAATCTGGAACTCTAAATTGCAAATAAAGTGTATTGTTCATATACATGGAATACACATGACGCTACGGAATCATAATTACACGAACACTCCGACCATTAGATTTAGAATTAATTTTTAACGTGGATGAAATAATCATAGTTCGATGCGCGATTATCCCTATTAATTCTAGATCGGCTGCTTTCTATATTCGTAATTTACTGAAACCATGGGATAATTTTTTTAACCTCTGTTAGATGCTTTTCACGATGTTATACAGGTACAATATTGTCTTTGCTTCCATCCAACGGTATACAAAAGTTTTTAAATTAAGCTTTGTTTGTCGTTTCAGGAAGAAAACGGATAACCGTGCAACGCCCAAGGAAAACAAGACAGCTTGCGACTTCTTTGTTTGCACGATATCTCACCGATGATTCCGCGCAACACGAAAAAGCCAATGTGACAAACCATTTTCTAGGTACGCTCGGAATCGTGAATGCGCTTCGCGCAGCTCCTTTCTTTCAATTAGATCGCGAGACTCTTCCGTGAAATAGAAGCTCGTCGACAACGCGACAAACAAATACAAAGTCGTTGTTTACGGCAGGAAGTGGGAGCAATTATACATGATAAGCTATTTCCAATTCTGACGCAAGATTCGCAAGGAAAATTCGACGCGTATCCGGCCGATGCGCATCCTGTTTCCACATATTTTTATTTTCCTTCGATATTTCGCAAACAGAATTCTGGTTCGAGATGACAGTACACTTTCGTATATTTTTATTTAGTTCAAGCTACATCTTTACGCTGCGCGATTGCAAATAATATTAATGACTTCTGTATCCTACGATTGCATCTTCATAGTCGCCTGGCTCGGTGAAAATATAAAGGCTTAACCTTAATAATTCCAAATGTCACCCAATGAGGCTACCTCGTAATCGCTCGATCATCGTGCCCTTAAGAGCTCGGTAATGAACCGTTCTCTGCCATCGATTGACGACTGTTCATTAAAACCGATAACACCTATGACCCGAGAGTGACCAACGATTGATCGTTTGCTCTCACTGCCAGGACATCATTAATATTACCAACGTAACAAATGGCCTGTTTGGTACGTTAGTCGAAATCATTGTATAATTCATTAGTTTTCTCGCCACTCGGAATATATCAGGACACGCGATTTTCTAAGAATCACGACTCTGTCATTTTTATTTTCAGAATTTGTTCATGATATAGAACGAGGTGTTCAAAGTTTCATCAAAATTGGTACGCCACCGTTACGTGATAGTCCTTCTAAGGATGCTACGTAGGAACAAATGAAAGGGTCGGGTCGATAATTGGCCGGTCGCGCTGTAGGATCGATCGCAGAACATCGTCCATCTCGCAAGTGTCGTTGTTTGTCTCAATGATCCCTAATTGCGTGTCTCGCGACCACTAACAACGAGTTGCCAGACCAAATGAAACGGTGCTTTATCGAGGAATCGAACACAAGGTGATTCGTTGACGTCGAACGCGTGCGTAACAATCGGTAACGTTGCGGGCCTTTGATACAGGACCGTTTTAATTCGAGGTCAACATTGTTGTTGGACATCAAAAAACTACTTCGATATACGGTTTACATACAATGCTTCGTAGTTGCATTATCTACTTTAATGGGGGATTAACAAGTCAATCTTAGGTCAATGTCTGTTGGTTAATTGTGTGAATTATTGGAAAGAAATGACGCACATGGTTTACGAATGAACGGTGCTCTGGCCTACTGCGTCTAAAAATTTAAATACACTGAACTCTTCTTTTCGGATCAACGTGAAGTCTATTATGCGAGTTACTCGTCTTCTTATTTTCATTTATGAGAGAGGAGGAAATAGTTTGGCGCAGGTATGCGACAATCGTAATACCTTCTCGAATGACAGATGTAACCATCGAAAGGGTAAAAGATCCTCGCGTACTTGAAGTCGAAGCGGTTCCATTGCGTTGCGTCGCGAGACATAATTCTCCGCAAGTTATCAATTTAATTGCACAATTATATGAAATTACATATCCTCGATAACATCCGTTTTCATCGCACCGGCGATCGTTCGATCGAGAGTGAGAATATATCTGCATGCTTAGAGTTGCTATCGAACACAGATACAGTTCTTTTAAAAATTAAACAAATTTGTCATTCGTTTTGCTCTTGGTATAATCACTCAGTCATATACTTTTCTCATAGTCGTACAAGAAATCTATAATCGCATACTTTGAACATATTCCGACTTTTATTCTACGCTCCGATTTGAATTGAATTAATCTGTACAGTTTCACACTACAAAGTAAGTCCTATTCCAATAATCATTTAGCTAAACAACCGATATACATATGTAAAAAGGAAGTAAAATTTCAAAGTCTGATTATCCAAAGGACCCACGTGAAAGCCACAGGTTAAATATTTAACATTCTCATGCAAAACGTTTCTCTAATAGGCTGAAGTGTTTAGCTTGCTATAAACCGAGTCAGCGGGGCTGACGTTGAAGGAAACCTTGGCGCAATATGGGACCGACTAGGGTAGTATCGCATAATTTTTCTGCATGAATCGGCGCACGATGCGCCCTAGATAGCATTAGCAAAGCAAGTTCAAGAATAACCATCCTAGGCTTCGAGAGAGCAGCAAGGTTAAAAGCATAACGCAAACCAAGTTTGATACTCGATGACGAGGCGATCGATGTCCAATTAATTGATCGAAATTTGCGGTGAATTAATTAATGATTCGAAGCGGACGGTGGAAAAACGTAATTATGCGGAGACGCGTTCCATTTTGTTTACCGATACTCGCCGTTTTCTTCGAGAACACGCTCAACAAATACGTTCCGAATTCTGTTGTTAACCTAATTCGCAACTAACAAAACACGATAAAAACTCGAGAACCGACGAGGTTCGCCTCGGAATGCCCAGCGATCGAATACTTAATTAATTCGCAATGAATTCGTTGAACAACTTTTTAACGAAGCGTGCAATAACGCTCGAAAGTGGCGAAGCTGGGAATTAAAAGAGAAATTAAATTACAATTCGTCAGACGATTACGAAAGTACGTGGAATTACGTTACCCAATACGCGAGGCACGTTAATGGCGTCTTGGAAGTGTTGGACGATAAATTTTAGATAAAAACAATGTCATGGCCGCGCGCACGATCCACTGATTTTACTATAATATTATTATATGCACCAGATGGATTAAGAAAGGATGGTAGGTGACGAAACTCTCAGGAATACTGTTGGTAGGTACAGTCAAACTTCAGATGTAAGGATTTATAGTATTGGAAAGGTTCTTGAATAACGAATAGAGGAACTGGCGCTGCAGATATAGTTGCAACATTACAACATTCCAACAATTTTTTTATACTACAATGCCCAGAAGGCTTTGCGGCAGCTGTAGAGCTCAAAGGAAATCGTAGCCAAGTACGTATGTATTAAGTATAGTTAAACTACGATTAACCAGCGTAATGTGGGTCGAATCAGGCAGGATATATCGTGGGCCATTCGATAATCGATACAAAAAATGAATTCTCTTGCCAAGAAATGCAACTCGCCTTTCAATATGTGTAAGGTGTTAGAGGTATATACATATACAGTCAGTCTCATAAATATTCGTACCCTCTGTGTTTAATGAAAGAATTTATTTAAATTAAATGATAGGTTCGATGTTTTTAAATAAATGTTTCATTACAACCTATCATTTAATTTAAATAAATTCTTTCATTAAACGCAGAGGGTACGAATATTTATGGCACTGACTGTAGGCCCTACAGGTGGGCATCCTTTCATGGAATGATTCTACAGGTAAGGCGAGTAAGGTGAAAATGAAACGGCATGAAATTACGTAAATCTTAAAGAAAAATGAATTTAAATCTGCCTGATTGTATAAATGCATTTACTCGTTCATTCAAAATCTTGGAAAGTTTCGAAACCTATTAAGACTTGGATCAAACCATTCGAGACCAATCAAAACTTCAAGAGCCAGAGCTGATCCTAGGGCGCTCCTACGCAATCATTCCATATTACAACATCTAGAATAAAGCTTATTTACGAGGAGTAATCTGTTCTTCATTTTCTCAAGCATTTGCATCTTTATTCTGGGAACTTGAAAATGCATTTCCTGCTACGTTAGCCACCCACATCCATCAGGACTCCATATCAACCCTATCGGGAGCAATCAAGAATTTCCAAGACAATCTCGTCTCAATCTCAATCGGGAACTTCCGAAAGTTTCAAATCTGCCAGCAAACTTTGGATTCGACGTCCGTCGCTGCTGGAAAGCGGAGCTGGTCGAACACGGCGCAGAGTGTCGGAGGAGCGATAATGCGACAGTGGGACCATCCGGTGGCTCCATCTATGTGGAGTAGACTCGGAGGATTGGCTGGTAGCTCGCAGGCGCATTTCCCGGTGCATTCTCCGGTTCGAGCCTCGTCTCGCGCGTCGCCGTCATTCCTTCCCCGCGATCCGTCGACGGTAGTGCTCTTTCTTCTCTCCGCGTACCCTTTTTCGTCCTTTTCTCCCTACGTCGTCGGTGCTCACGCGCGTGACTCCTAGGCACAGTGGATTCGGTTGATCGCTGCTGCAACAGTTGCTTCCAGTTCGCTTCCTGTTTCGGTTTTCCTCTCCGTCCAGTTTCCTCCGCCTCGTTCGGCTCCGCGCGATACCACTCCGATCTCCCACTCCGCGGTCGTGTTTCTTCTCCGTTCAATCAGCGTCGGTCCCCCTTCCGTCCGCTGACCGATAAGCGTCCCACTGTCAGGGTCGAAGAAAGAAGAGGTCGGGGTCCGTGGTCGCCGCCAGCTGTTCGACGTCGAGCAGTCCGCCGTCTACTCGCTGCCACTTTTGTTCCTACGCCTCGGCTCATGGCGTGCCGAGCCTCCGGATACCGGTCTGGCCCCAGGACCCATCCGGCCCATCGCCACGCAACGGTCAGGACTGTCGTGTCGCTCGACGGCTGCTTTCGACGACTCACCAAGGTACCAGAGAGAAACGAGGTAAACAATGAATCGCAACCATGCGTAAGCTCCAAAGTGGCTCGAACGAGTGCGGAATAGGATAGGGTCCGCTTTGTTTTGTTCTCGACGAACAGGTGAGAGGGTCACGGGCAATCGAGCCTCGAGTAGCTGAATATCAATTATCCGAACGCTAAACGGGACCAGCGTTGAGTTATTCCAACCTCCGTAATACTAAGAATACATTTATTCATATGTTACTATTTCTACTGTGATCCAAATATTGTCAATTAATACAGAAATATTTTACGTGGAACGAAATTGAATAATGCATGAAACGATCGTATATAATTTATAATATCCAAGGAATATCACGAGGGATTCTATTATCTGAAAATCCTATCGATAGTTTATTCTATCAAATAGTTATTCGAGCTTTCATTCATTCGGGTTTTGTGGTTCTACTCCGGAATGAAGTTAACGTTTGATCGACGAGGTATTTGGTGTAACGGAATGTTCGACTAATAAAAAACAGTTTGCGTGATCGCCAGGTACGGCATGAAAAACGAAACAAACATTGGAAGCCACATACCACTCCGATGCCGATACATCTAAACCAAACTATATGTCCTGCGATTAAAATGAATTTTCTAAATGAAAAATGCGAGCATCACACATTTTCGCGATGCATGCAAGGTGTCGAGCCAATCGCATGATTAATTCTCGAGATTTTATCAACACCAGGTCAAGGAAACTCGTTCCAAGGAAAACTCCTTTGAAGTTTTAAGTTATATTCCCTGACCTTTATAGTGTTCTCGAGAAGTGAAAACTTTTTTAAATGCTCGAGTAGCGCCATCAAATTTCGAGCACGTAATATCGAGATCTTGAGACTACGGAGACTTGATATGAAAAATCGATTAATCCTCCGAACAAACAAGAATGCTGTTTCGAGCCAAGTCCTTGTTTGAAACATGTCGCTAAATGAATTTTTCCCAGCGGGTAGGCGGTCTGTTGGCGACAGGATCATGCTTATAAAAGTTGAGTTAAACGATTCATGTAAAATCGAGGTTTACTGGAAGTTTGCCTGTATATTCGAACCGCTATCTTCTTCGCGAACGGGTCACATCTCTGGTGGAATTGTATTAGATTCCGACAGCAAGGTTGACTCGAGAGAAATGATTCTTACGCCTACTGGAGTTATCTGTCGGGGCTCCCGATAGTGTCCTTTGTGACTCGGATAACAATGAAGGAGCTAGTTATTCCGAATCAAATACCTTTCTAGCAGAAGAAAGCTTGCGTTCGTGACCTTTGAGTCGAGGAGGAAGAAAGACGATTAGATAAATGTATAAACTCTTTGTTAATTCCTCGCGATGTGCACAACATTTATCACGCCAAGTATAAATTGATTACATAATTTACGACGTACTTTTCGTTGCATAAACAACAGACGACGAATCGTTTATCCTTCGCTCCTTTGTTGAAAATTTATTTTTGCCCATCTCGACTGTACGTTTGTCGATGGCTCATCGTACAGACGTCGCGGGTGTCTATTGTTTTTGCTTTGTTCCCGGTCCTCTTGCTTGCAGAAGTACGTACTCTGCAACGACAGTCACGTCTGTGGCACTAATGTCTCGATAACGTATTGTTGCGGTTATAATAGGAACGGTGTCTAGATTGCATTGGCAACATTTGAGCAGCGGCTCCGAGTAGCAGTCACGAATCGATTATTCTTCACGCGAGAGCACTCGTTTTGTAATTTCTTATCTTGATTGATCCAATCGAATCAGAAACTTCGTTGTAAACACAGACTGCTTTCGATTCCTTCTTCTACTTAAAAACATGAATTCGTCAATCGAACAACACGCAATTATATAAACGTAAAAGTTGAAGGTGCTTACGGTACATTAATAAAAGTTAGTCGACGAGATAAAACGTATAAAAAAAAGCACCAATTTGTTTTTTAGAAGTCCAATTTAAAAATGTTTCCACAGCATAATTGAATCTACGTTACACAGAACTGCTGGGCACTTTACGAGAATTTATTCTCATTTTTCTTTTGTTAGTAGAATTTAATTAAACTCGCTAATTGCAAGGGTTCGCTATGAGGCATGGCGCGTGTTCAAAGCAATCTAGCTACTTGGTCGACGACAGTATATTAAAGTTGATTTTTTTATTAGCTTACTCACGGTACTCATTTTCATGGTAGTTCGATACAAATAGAATTTGTCGAAGGGAACAGAATTAGTTTGTCTAATATCGCGTCAAATATTGTTGGAACCAATCCAATATCTGACGTACTCGAAAATATGATTCGATCAACCAGCAGAATACAACGGAACATCTGCAACCGTATCGAACGACAATTTTGCATACACGAATAACCAAAGTTATCAGGCATTATGGTTGTATGGTATTTAGATATCGGAGCGATTGTCGAATGTGCGCATCTGCTTGAGATAGCAGAATTCGTCCAAAAATAAACTCGCAACGCATGACAGTTTTCAGGAAATCTATATTTCTTTCATAAAAACGAGCATCTCCCCTCTTGCTCCCCTCGCTGATTGCGCAACGAGCTCCCTTATCAGACACCGGATAACGCGTGGGAGGCGCGCTTCATCGGCAAAATTTCTGCCTTGCAAGCGTCGCGACGACTTTCAGGTCCACGTGCTTTGCATTTCCGAGTGACCGCGATTAAAAACCATCGAACGCGATGTGGGTCAGTCGGGGGAGCCGTGACACGCGGCTTTTCACTCAGACAACCTTGAACATTATCGGGCCAATTATGCGTCCGCTAATCTGCCTCCGATCCTATTCGTGACGTCGCTTATCGAGTCACACGGGAGACATTGCCAGAACAGCTGAATCGGAATTTGCTCGACTTCATTAAGCTCTCAGCCCCCATCGTCCCACGATGAATCCCATTTTTAACCGACTTCGAAAAGGAGGAGGTTACTCAATTCGACATGTATATATATATACATTTTTTTTTTTTTTTTTTTAATGTCTGTTCACCGATTACGCCGAGATGGCTTGATGAATCGGAGTGAAACCTCTTGCACCTTGTCGAATATTTCTTCCAGTTGACCGCGTAAAAGAAACATTTTGTGATTTGTCATTTTTAACCCGTTTTTTTTTTTAAACAGAAACATTTTGTCTTGCTTCTTACTCCGAGACGGATAAACCAATGAGATTGAAACTTCTTGCATCTGGAAGAGCATTTGCCATTTGGTCCCATAACAAAACATTTGTCCTTGTCTTATTTGTTACCACTTTATATCATTTTTTATTGCAAAAAGCGTACTATTTCACGTACGTTTGGCCTGAAACCGATTAAATCGATGAAACCCCTTACATTTTGCTGCCGGAGAGGTTTTCGCAATGATCACAGATGCAAAAATTTATGAATTTCTGTATTGTTTATAACTATTGTTATCGCAAAATTCCTATTATACGATGTAACTCGGTGAGGAAAATACCGAGCGTCATGGAACTTTCTGCATTTCATAATAGATAAATTCGTGATGTTCCCATTTGCAAAAATTTATGGACACTTTTATTGTTTAAAATTATTGTTGGTGCGAAATTGTTATGCTCTGGTGTAACTCGACAAGGAATTTACTAAACGCAATCAATCCTTTCACATGTATTTGCACATGTATTCCTGATAATCCCATTTGCAATTATACAGGGTGTCCAAAAAATGTTGTATGTCCTTGAATAGAGTGTTTCGGGGGAGGGGGGGGGGGGATTTGAAACAATTTTTTCTTAACGAAAATGTTGTTCGAGGCTTCGTTAAGGAGACATTGACAGAAATCCCCGACCAATCAGAGCGCTAGTATGCCGGTGGAGCTCCTGCGGTAGCATAGGCCTCGCCTCCCCCGCGAAACAAGCCTTTTCAAGGACCTCCAACGTTTTTGGGTCATCCTGTATATTGCTCATAACTGTTGTTATTGCATGAAACCATTGGTTATAGATTGCCACTAAAAAGAGTGAAATAAAATAATTTTTTGGAAAAAAAATTTAACCGACTTCAAAAAAGGAACAGTGAAAAGTATGAAATAATTTCTAGTTAATTTATATGAATACGCACTAGCTCTAGATATAATTGTTTAATTTGTATGGGAAGATGCAATTAAAGGCATGAAATAATTTCTAGTTAATGTATATGAATCTGCATTATCGGCCAAGCACTCCATATTATCGACAGAGTGATCTGCATTATCGACCGAGCACTCTACATTACCGACAGAGTAACCTGTGTTATCGACCGAGCACTCTA